TTGGAAAGCTTGAGCAAATATTCTATGCAAATATTCTATAATTTAAAAAAAGAAAAAACTCTGAAATACTTCTAATCTCCAGGCACTTTGGATAAGGGGTATTCTGCTATAATCTATAAAGAATTAAAATAGTCTACATTTGTCTCAAAATAGTTTCACAAGTTTTATCTTTTAGTTCTGAATGCTCGTAACAAGTGACACCTAAACCAATTTGAATTATTGGCTCTTGAACATTACTACTGTGGTAATGGTTTGTCTAGTATGTTTCTATGTATAATATGTTTCTGTATTTTATATTACATAATTTTTTAGGATGAAGTTAAAAGAGGTAGATCGCACAGCCATGCAGGCATGGAGCCCTGCCCAGAACCACCCCATTTACCTAGCTACAGGTAAGATCAAGAGGAGATAATATGAAAAACCCAATTCTTCTCTTCTACATCTGGCTTATTCATAAATGTCCATTAAGATTCAGTTCAAGCTTCCTCTGGGAAGCCCCTATCCCCAGCAAGATACCTCCATTTCCTTATCAGCTGAGTTCTATGACCTTCATCTTTGTTCCAGTAGCACCATGTACATCATAGCAATGATCACAATGTGTTTAAAATAGATATTGCCTTTTCCACTGCACGGGGATTATGTTTAGCATTAGTCCTCCAATATTAAGCATAATAGAAGACATGTAAAAATTCAATTGAATGAAGAGCAAATTTGATGCAAGCATTTTTTAATATAAAAAATGTATAGCATGTATGATTATATGTACATATAGTCAATCACAGGACTATTTTTACAGAGAGCTTTTAAAATATTTACATATTTGGATAAGGGGTATTCTGCTATAATCTATAAAATTAATTATAATCTATAAAATCTAAAAAAATTAATGGCCCTACTCACTCTTACAAACATTATCTTGCAGCCCTGTGCCAGAATTTTATTGCTATAGTAATTTAAGCATCTGCTTAATGGTATATGTGCTGAGACTTCAGCTACTAATGTAGCATTCATGTGTAAGATAATTGGAAAATAAGCTTTTAATTTCTGTTTTGTACCATTTTCTTTCAGTCTTTTATTTATTTTAATATTTTTAATTATAGGTGAACACAATACCTTTAATTAATTAATTAATTTATTTTTAGTGCGGTGTTGAGGATTAAACTCCATGCCTCACATGTTTGAGGCAAGCATTCTACCACTGAGCCACAACCCCAGCCCTGAGTCTCTTATTTTTGTGCATGTAGTTACCATAAATGTATTTTCTATAGGAACATCTGCTCAGCAGTTGGATGCAACATTTAGTACCAATGCTTCCCTTGAGATATTTGAATTAGATCTTTCAGATCCATCCTTGGATATGAAATCTTGTGCTACTTTCTCTTCTCACAGGTATGAGGTTCATTCTTATTCATTTGATTATTTATATATTGTGATTGATGCTTACTTTGTTGATAATTATTAGAAAGTATAAGAAATACCATTAATAACATGAAACATTTTGTGAAAAGTATATAAATACATTTTTGTGGAAGTGAAAGAAGTGTTTATATATTCTCTTTACTGTTTTATTGCTGACTATTATGTGTAGGATGGGAAGGAGAAGCTCTAGTTTCTTTTTTTCCTCATAGTATAGAATTACTTTTTTCTATTTCTTTCATTCGACTTGTTTGTAAAAATGTTTGGTGTCAATAGAAAAAGGAGTGGTTATATTAATCACTATGGTATTATTGATTATCTCTGAATGGCAGAGGGTTTTTTTGTTTGTATGTTTGTTGGTACTGGAAGACAGGATCTCACTAAGTTTCTGAGGGTCTCATTAAGTTGCTGAGGCTGGCCTCTGACTTGTGATCCTCCTGCCTCAGCCTCCCGAGTTGCTGGGATTATAGGTGGGTACCACCAAGCTTGGCTGAATGGCAGGTTATTTCTTCTTTCTACTATCTATATTTAGAAATATGCCTCACAAAGTATTTTGTTGACATAATTTCTGATGTACTAAGTATTTAAATCACCCTTTCAAGTATTTATGCTCTAATATAATGCCAAAGAAAGACGCTTTAAATTGAATGATTAAATGAACTTAATTGTCTCAGTATTTTAGCAGGTTTTGAAGAGGCTGTACCTTAGTTAACAGAATATCATTCAAATCATGGAATTTAATGGAACACTTCATACTCTGCACAGCCTTCACACTATGATTGGGAACCCCGGATATCTCTTTTATCTAGCAATTTTTCTTCTTGCTACCATAGAACTCTTTGTCATCTTTCTACTGTTAATACATTATTTGTCTTAGAAAATTTCAGGCAACTTGCTTAACACCTTTATTGTTCTGGGTTTTGTGGTACTGGGAATCAAACCCAGGAGTACTTTACCTCTGATACAAACCCACAACCCTATTTATATATTTGACAGGGTCTCACTAAGTTGATGAGGCTGGCCTCAAACTTGAAATCTTCCTGCCTCAGCCTCCAAGTTGCTAGGATTATAGGTATGCACCATCATACCTAGCTAACACCTTCACTATTTAACAGCCTACATTGTTAGTGTCCAGTTCTATTGTCAAGTAGAGTGTAATATTTTTACACAAACATGGTTGGTTAGCTTTATTTTATAGGTGAATTAAAGGCAACATAAGACGATTAAGTTACTTGTCCAGAATCTTGCAGTTTCTAAATAGTAAGATCATTTTAAAGCATATATATAGAGAGAGATTTTGTTTTGTTTTGTTTTGTTTTGTACTAGAGATTGAACCCAGAGGGGCTTAACCACAGAGACACATCCCCAGCCCTTTTTTATTTTTTATTTTGAGACAAAGTCTCACAAATTAGTCTCTAAATTGCTTGCCTCAGCCTCTCAAATAGCTGGGATTACAGAGATGCACCACTGTGCCTGGCTAAAGCCCATATCATTTGACACAGAACTCAAGTAAACTTTGCTCTACTATATTGCCCCTGTAAGAGTTTTTACTTAGGGAATATGTAGGTATGACTATAAATACAAAATAAAATTCTATTTTACCAGAGTTATACACAATGACCAGGCATGCAAGAAAATCAATGTTTTTCTAGTATTTATTAAAGGTAAAAAAATTAAATGTGTAATTTTTAATTTTTTTCTACATTTATTTGACTTCAAGAATGAGTTGTTTTTTACTTAATTTCTTTTAAAGGTACCACAAGTTGATTTGGGGGCCTCATAAGATGGATTCCAAAGGAGATGTCTCTGGAGTTCTGATTGCAGGTGGTGAAAATGGAAATATTATTCTTTATGATCCTTCTAAAATTATAGCTGGAGACAAGGAAGTTGTGATTGCCCAGAATAATAAACATACTGGTCCAGTGCGAGCATTGGATGTGAACATTTTTCAGGTTTGACTTTGTTTGACATTCATTCATAATTCTTAAAATGTGTTGTTCATTTTGCATAAGTTTATGAGTCTACTCTGCCTCAGCCTTGGAGTTAAAAACCCAAAAATGTGTGCCTGGCTGAGAGGATGGTGATGCACACCTATAATACTAGCTACTCTGAAGCCTGAAGCAGGAGAATTGCAAGCTCTAGGGCAGCCTCAGCAACTTATAAAGACCCTGTCTCAAAAAATAAAAAGGGAATGAGTATGTAGCTCAGTTGTAATGTAGCTCAGTGAGAATACTTTCCTACCATGTGTGAGGCCTTGATTGGTTTAAGTCCCCTGTATCTTAAAAAACAAAGTATGTGCATATATGGTTGATGAGTGATTGTATTTGTTTTAAGAATGGTGGGGGCTGGGATTGTGGCTCAGTGGTAGAGTGCTTGCCCAGCATGTGCCAGGCCCTGGGTTTAATCCTCAGCACCACATAAAAGCACATAAATAAAATAAAGATATTGTGTCCAACTATAACTAAAAAAAAAAAGAATGGTGCGATCAGAGTTGAGATCAGGGTATGTGACACTAATTCCAAGAGGGTATCAGACTAACAGGTTAATTCTGGAAGCCTAAAGGTGTCATGCTATCTCTGGACAGTTTTAAAAATTTGGAGCCCCAGAGTTGAAAATTCTGCCTTTTGAAAGTTTATGCTAGGTCACCATTAGGCTGATACTACATTGTCTGGTTAAGTCACCATTTTATTAACTAAGAAATTTTGTGTTTGTGACAAAAAGATTACTACCTTATGAAATAATTAGAAATTATCCAAATAATACAAATTTAACAAATAGGCACTTAAGATTCTACTGTTGCCTTCACAAACATTACTGAATAGTAATTATATAAATGCATAGGTTAATAATGAATGAATTAATAGAATACTAGATTATAATAACCAGAAAAAATTTTTAAACAAATAGTTTATCTCTTCTCATATTATGAATACTTAGGGTATAGAAATGCAGAAACTCAAAACTTTTTCATTTCTATAGTTTGTGTGTGGTATCTACTCTTTATAGATTAGCTAGTTAATTCCTTTTTCAGTTGTATTAAACATCAGTGGCTAGTTAATTTTTTTTTTAATTTTAATAAACATCTGATTTTTGATAAAAGGTAGCTTTTCTATAGGTAGCTATAGAAGAAGAAGAAACTACAGAAGAAAAAGTCTTCTGTTTTTCATAGTTATATGGCATTTGCTCATATAAGAATTTATGAGTGAATAATAGTGGATGAAGGTAAATATAGGAAGCTCATTATCTTCTTGTACTTTATATTACAGTTTTAGGGTCTTTTAGACCTAAAAGTTATGCAGCAGAAATAACCTAGAAATACTGCCACCTGGAACAAATTTAGTTTACAAGAATTAGAAAAATATGAAGAGTTAAGCAAGAGATTTTACTACTATACTGGTCCAGCTGTGGAAGCTGACTTTGAGGTATCCTGAAAAAGATGTCATAGTTTTAAGGATTTAGCTATTTCTGAAAGCAATTATTGGTGACCATTTTGTGTGTGTGTGTGTGTGTGTGTGTGTGTGTGTGTGTGTGTCCCACAATTAGAATTCCTTTCAGAGATATAAAGCCACATACAATAATCCCTACATGGTTACAAAATTAATTGTTTATCCGTGTAATTGTTCTTTTTTGTAATGCCTTGTATTAAGAATTAGTTTTATTTTCAGTGGACATATTTATAAGTAGTTTTATAAAATGTTTTTTAAAGATCTTTTAGTGAAGAATTGTACATAATTATTTAGGAATCATGCATATGTGTTTTGCTTTTTTAGTTAAATAGAAAATTATGCTGAAACTGACATCTTTCTAGCTCTGAACTGAGTTATTCTGAATTCTCTTAATTCACAAATGCCATTTGGTTATAAATTATTCCTTGGTTACAGACTAATCTGGTAGCTTCTGGTGCTAATGAATCTGAAATCTACATTTGGGATCTAAACAACTTTGCAACTCCAATGACACCAGGAGCCAAAACACAGGTATTTTGTTGATTTTGATCAATATGATGAAAGAAATCAAAGTAGTTCTTCTGAACTTATTTGTTTTAAGGTTTTTTCCATACAAATCATTGTTAAAATGTCTTTGATTTTGCTTCAGTAAAGTACTAATAAATGTTTCTTCAAAGTATCAGTGAGTCCTTTAACAGTAAGTTTTTATTCAGTGCCTACCACTTGCTAGACACATTTCATTGTAGTAGGCATAGAATAGCAAACAAAATGGACAAAAATCCTTGATAATTTTCTTAGGTATGGTTTTATTTTTATTCTATTAATTTTTTCTACTCTAAGAGCAGCCAACCTTACTTAAAAATACACTTTTTCACCAGGTATGCTGGTGCATGCCTGTAATGTGAGTGATTTGGGAAGCAGGGGCAGGAAGATTGCAAGTTCCAGGATAGCCCTGGCAACTTAGCAGACAGTTTCAAAATAAAAAAAGGCTAGGGATATGAGATGGTTCAGTGGTAGAGTGCCCTGGATTCAATCCTCAGTACAATTAAAAAAAAAAAAAAATCATCCAAACATCATCAAGTTAGTTGGATAAGACCAGTCTTCCCCTACTTTACCTTGTTTCTTCTTATTTTCTGGACACCAATTTTGGCCTTAACATTTTAGCATAATGATAGCATATATTCTACCATTTGTAAAGGTATTTTTCTTGTGGTCCAGGTGATAATTTTTTCTCTGCCTAATTGTTGGCTTTATTCAACAGTGTCTATTTTGTAGTCTTATCTACCTTGTAGCATTTACAAATAAAGAACTCAATAAATACTTGTTGAATGAAACACTTTTAAACAAGCACTATAAACTATAAACTACATTGTATATGATGAGATTGGGTAAATATAAAATAACTTTGTAGACTAGATGGATCAAATTTTTAAATAATCAGTTTTTTAAAATCAAGGGTCATATAATTAAATTTTACTATAATAGGGAAATGGTTTTTAAAAATAGTTTATTTTTTATAGCCCCCAGAAGATATCAGCTGCATTTCATGGAACAGACAAGTTCAGCATATTTTAGCATCAGCCAGTCCCAGTGGCAGGGCCACTGTATGGGATCTTAGAAAAAATGAACCAATCATCAAAGTCAGTGATCATAGCAACAGGGTAAGTGTATGATTAATTTGTGATGAAAATAAGTTATTTGTGCTATAGGTATTCTTATACTCTTTGTCAGAGTTGACAAATTTTTGTTAAGTCAAATCCTATATTTTTATTATTCAGTCATATTGGAACATAATAAAATTTCTAATAAATCATGTTGGGTATTATTAATGGTAGAGAGTTTGGTAATCTAAGGATTTATTCCATAATATACTATTTGTGTAGCAGTTCCAAAGTGTTGTAGCAACTTTTAAATTCATCTTTAGCTTTTCATAGAACTGTACAAATTTTTCCTGCTAGAAATTTTAAGAGTGTGAATTTGTAATTTCCAAATTCCTGATTTTGTCTCTTCCTCTGATTAGGTACTGCCATAGTAAGCCAAGATCTTTGTCCCACTGGCTCAGTAGACACTGCTATATAATACATTAAATTCTCAACCTTACAAATTCTTTAAATTTTTTGTGTTATCAGGTTCTATAAAATACTTTAGATAATTGAGAGATTATTTTTGTTTGTTTTGTTCGACATTTTCAAGTTTGCATAAGTCAGAATGCATATATAATTTTAGAAGAACAACAAAAAACTGTTTAGGAGAATATTCCTTCAGAATTGTTATTTCAAATGGATCTGGACTTGTAAAAGAAAAGTTATGAATGGAATAAAGCATACAGTAAGCATTTTATTCATCTTAGAAATTGTTTTATAGAATCTAAACTTTGGGTAATTCTCAGTAACAGCGTTAATTTATCTCATGAAATTTAGATGATGTTTGTTGCTTAAGAAATTTTTCCTTCATTTTTCTGCTAAAAGAATGATGTTATAGATTTTTTAATTAAAGTCTTATCTACTAAAAAAAAAGTCTTATTTTCATTTTGTGAAAGTGTTTATATAAAGTCTTTTCTCTAGTTAAAATAGTTGTAATAAAACTCATTTTAGCCTTGATAGACAACAAATCTGCCATCCCCTTGATCTTGGACTTTCTAGCCTTTGTAATTGTGAGAAATAAATTTCTGTTGTTCATTAAAAAAAAAACAAAAAAAAACTCATTTTAGTGGGCTGGGGTTGTGGCTCAGCAGTAGAGCACTCGCCTAGAACGTGCGAGGGCCTGAGTTCTATTCTCAGCACCATATAAAAATAAATAAATAAAATAAAGACGATATTTAAAAAAAAAAACAACTCATTTTAGATATAGAATTATTCTGAACCAAAATTGTTTTATATATTTAAAATAGCTAGATGAGGTGAAAACATTGAGTCTTTATATGTTTAAGACAGTCTGATAAAATTTAATAGCTTTAAATTGGGCTTTTCAAAAAGAAGTAAACTATGCCTGAGCTGATGTTTTTTGCTGTTTGTTTCAATAAAGGAATATTCTTCGGGTTTCATTTTGGCTTATTATAAAGTAATGTGATTGATAAAATGTGAGCCTTAACTATTCACAGATGCATTGCTCTGGATTGGCATGGCATCCTGATGTTGCTACTCAGATGGTCCTTGCTTCTGAGGATGACAGATTGCCGGTGATTCAGATGTGGGATCTTCGATTTGCCTCTACTCCACTCCGTGTCCTGGAAAACCATGCCAGGTATCATGCTACTATTTCAAGGAACTTGATTTCTTCATGTTCTAAATACTTGGTTACTGCTTCAAATTATTTGATTATTTTTTTTTTTTAAATGGGGTATTACTATGTTGGCCTAAAATTTGGCTATCTCCTCCTCAAGCTCTCACCTCAGCCTCCTGAGGAGCTAGGATTATAATGGAACACATATCAGTGTACCACCTGGATAATTTTATTTTTTAAATTAGGGAATCTACTTTATCTCTTTCTCATAATAGATAGTACAAATGGTTTATTTTTATTTTAAGCAATTGTCATCTGATTTTCTCTACCAAATGTATATAGTAGCCAAATATGCACCATAATAGCATGAATTCTTTGTTAACAAATTTTTTACTAGTTATTTCAAACAATAATTAATAGATCAAAATTCTAGTATGCCACAGTACTTTGGGAAAACCCTTGAAATTTATTATACAATTTGATCTTTTTTTTTTTTTTTTTTAGTAGTTGTTGGACCTTTATTATTTATTTATTTATTTATTTATATGAGGTGCTAAGAATTGAACCCAGTGCCTCACT